CTAAAAGCGAGGGGAGGGATTTGATATCTCCACAGGGAAAAGCGGGGTTGATAATAGAATTGAATGCCTAATTAAAAATGCAAGGTATCTAACTCCATAGTGACCACGTTTAGAGGTCACTATGCAGTTAGATACCTTGAATTTGTAACAACACTCAAACCCCACATCTCCTTTTCGACTAGAAAATGTCGAGAAAGAGACAACAGCCGTGTACCTCAGAGCCTGTCAAACTCTACCTTTGGGTAGAGTATTTATTATTCGGTGCACGAGGACTAGCTGGACCAACCATCAAACTTGCTTGTGCAAGCAATTTATACAGTAATATCTGCTCTTTCGCTTGTGGGACGCGAAATGATATACTACGCATGCTCAACCACATTAAAGCATGTTTAATGCGCATGTTCAACCTTATTTCGTACCACAACCACAACCTCCCGAGGACAATAGAAAATGGAAATAAACAACACAAAAACCTCATGCATGGTCGGTCTTTCATTAAAATTCAAGAAAGACCTCCCAATGAAAGACCTCCCATTCGGTTTTTATCCTACATATAAAAAAACCCTGTTGGGAACAACTTGAGAATCTCTGCTTTGACAAACCCGTAGAAATCTTCGTTAGCGCTTCTCGGTTGTATGAGCTATTTCAAACATATTTCATCGGAATTGTTGTTGGTGAACGAATATTTAATCACTTCTCATTGATAGGTATACAGTAATGCGACATGAGAACGATGCATATCAAATGCGAAAGCCCTGTTTGTTTTTATTACAACCATGGTAATTGAAACTCATTTAAAGAAGAATACATATCATAAAGTAAATATCGTTGTGGGTCAATCCTTACAAATATGAACTAAGTTAGTTAGATACCTCAAACGTCGGCTCTTAGTCAGATAGTTAGTAGTTAGTCTAAGTTTGTATCTGACTAAGAGCCTCCGTTTTCGGTATCTAACTCTTACTTAGCTACTGAGGACTAAGAGTTTGTCCCGGTAGTCTAACGTTCATTTTATGTTTTTCATATTTTAGATGGTTTGACAAGAGTGTGTTGGCTAGCTTCATTCCTTCATGCTCTTGAAGTTTCTGCAGATAATATTTCCCTCACCATCGACACAGTATTGAAGTTTTCCTAGTGCATTACGGGCAAGTTTTAGCATATGGAAAGGATCGAGTATGACATTTCTCACATTGTTAGATGGACAAATGAAGACTTTATTTTGTTGTAAGTGCCAAAAAAGTTGCAATCAAGAATTTCAAATGTTCTAAGATTGACTAATGTACCATCTGCTGTCACTGACCAGACCTTCAAACCAGCTTTTGCAGCCATTTCCAGGGATTTGATTACCAACACAGCTTGATCTTTGGTGGTGACCTTGTCTGTCAGGAAATATCCGATGGGAAACTTCCAGTGACTTCTTGTGCGAACTAAAAGAAACACCAGTGCCTCACAAGCTATTTTTGTGCAGCAGGAGTTTTATCACCTAAATAAAAAAATCCAGAGTATTGGTCTTTTTCAGGATTCCAGAGGGTTTGCTTGCAAATAGACATTGCGTCAATAACCAATGCTTCTTTAATAAAACCTGGGTCGCATTTGAACGATGAAGACCATTTTCTGATTAAGGATGCATTTGGCAAGGGAATTATGGAGTGGACATACTTGTATGCTTTTGTTGAGTAAAAGTACAATGTTAAAGCAAATTCTTTAATTCCATCTGAATACCTTCTGCTGGATGGTGTAGCTTTCCTTTAAAATTGTACAGGAATTCCAGTTGTGTATTTTCAAAGGTAGAATGAAGAGTTTCTGCTTCCCTTGAACTAATCACCAGTTTCTCTTGCAATGTCTTGATAACTTCACCCATGGTGTTAGCCTTTTCATTTTGTAAGGCGTAATTGTTGTTGGAGTTTTCATATTTTTTGTCACAGTTTTTTTCCTAATTCATCTCTTTTTTCTTCTGCACGGGCAGTTCTTCAGACTTTTTCTGGTGGTGACATTTCATGATTGGTTGGTGTTCAAATGCTCAAGTCTGCTTTGCAACTCATCTGGTGGTGTTGTACATTGGGTGGAATTTTGAATAGACCTGGATGGTATGGCATGGTTTTTTTGGTTGGCATGTTCCATTTCATGGAGGAATGATATAGTCTGATAGTTGGAAATGGTCACTACATAACGGCTGCCTCATTTTGCTTTGCATGATTTCTCAAGTATGTTCTCTTGTTCAACAAAACTTTCCCAGCATTCTAGTTTTTCATTATTTTTCATAGGGAATCTATAACAGTTGTTTACACATACTTGAGCTGATATTTTAGAAATTTATTTAACCCATTAAGCGCCAGTTTGCCACCCTTGACGAGTAAAATTGTCTGGTAAATTTGTCAGAGTAAGATTGTCAGAGTAAAATAATAAAGTAGGGTGCATCAGGGCCCAATGCCCATTGTGACTCTGATGCGCCCTACTTTATTATTTTACTCTGTCTAACGCCAGATGATTTTACTTGTCAAGGGGAGAGTGCTGGTGCTTAATGGGTTAACTGGCCTATCTGCTCATGTGTTTAGTTAACCCATTGAGTTGCATTTAAAACCACTCAAAATTTCCAATATTTGCCACTTTTAGAAAAACAAAAAAATGCAGACCTTATAAAGTTCTTTAGAAAAATATGTACGGTTTTAAAGTGGCTCCCTACAGTTATAGTCCAGTTTAAAATATTTATATAGATCAGACGTCATCCCTGTGACTCGCGTGTGGAATCTTCGTGGCCCACTAAAAATCTTGAAACAAGCTGCGGGAAGTTTTTGTATTTTCATGTACAAAGAAAACACCAGTTTTTTATTATAATCCTAAACTATTCAAAATTCGAACAGTACATATGTTGCTAACTAGTTTTTAAACTACCTTTCAATGTGTTTTTATATATTTATACGTTCAGTACTGTATATTTCATAATGCTCACAATGTTCAACAACAGTGTCACGAACAGACATGATATTTTATACTGTCTTCAAGGCACTACTGAACCATCACTGAAACTTATGTAAGGTCCTGTCATTCAACTCAGTTCACATGTAGTTTTTTTATCTGCTAAATCCAATAAAACTATAGTGCAGACAGTTACAAATTTTTTGTATGAAAAGTCAAATTCTTCTTGAATGTTTTGAAAAATTTTCACACCGATTTTCACACCAAAACTAAATTTAAGAAAAGTTGGATTAAGTCAATGTGTTATTGTGTTCTTTTATTTTCATTTCAAATAAGTAAAATATATATCATATCTGTGTGATACATATAAGCCAAAAACTCGAAAGTAAAAATTACTAAAAAAGCCAACTATAATCTGTATGCATTTCGTGTTCCCCACGCATTATAATTTACACGCATGCACAAATAGCGATCATGTCGAATCGATATTTTGTCACCTCAACAGCTGCAACTGGGCTTTAGGACTATTTTTCTCGTGTTTCCATTGGTGAAATGTTTTTAAACTTTGCACACTTGCTAAGCATGTCAACTAGTCAAATATATCAAAATTTCAAGAAATTCTACAAGACAGATTTTTTGTAGTCGTTATTTAACAATAACTCAAAACCTGCCTTTGAATATCCCTTCAAACTTTAATATATTATTCCTCTTTCAACCATAAATCTTTAAAAAACAATTCAGAAAAATTGACTGATTAAGGGAAGAAAAAAATTGCCGTTTGATTGTAAAATTAGACAATAAAAGTGCAAAAGATGAAACATCATGGTTGCCATGGCAACACTAACACTGTTCCCATTTGTTCATATATCGACAGCATAAGATTTATGAACTTTCCTGGAAATGATTATATTGTCCTGTTTTAAGTGTATTCAATATAAATTTGGTTGAAAACGAAGGTTACCTAAAATACTTAAAATTGTAGACTAGGGGTTACTATCGCAAGGAAAGTGCTGCTTTGGATCCACAGGCAAATACTAATATGTTACCCTGGTTCCAGAGGCTCTTTGTGAGGCGAAATCTTTCCTCGCAAAGAACCTCTGGAACCAGGGTACTAATTCTTTTCATTTGGGTTAAAATACATTACATGTACCCATACAAAGAAATACTGTATGTATGATTTATTTCATTGGAAAAATTGAGATTACAGTTTGAAGGACAACACTAACAACCAATTAAGTCATGTACAACCATGTTCAACAAAAGAATAATATCAATATAGCCATAAAATGTCTTGAGACTTGGATCTCTGACGTAACAGAGGGGTAGAAGTTCCAATGTCAATCTCTCTGTATACGTCATTTCTCAACAATCCATTTCTTTGTGATATTCCAGCTATTACATACATATTTTTTTGAAGTAACAATCCATAGAATATTTTATTTTGGACATTTTACTACTAAGGTTCCAATGACCAAATGTTATCTGATGGCATATGTTCTGTTAGGTTTTTGGTACGGTGAAGTAAGTTTGATATAAATCCATTGAAATGTCAAAATCCATATAAAAGCGATGAAACACAATGGTAGCATGCAAATTACACAATATTACCAGAGAAATGGATAATTTCTTTTAGCAGATTCCATTCTATTAGAGATTAAGTAACATATCCATGGTGTATATTTAATTGGTGACAATCCATTTCTGTGCAATATTCCAGCTCTCAAGGTGGCACATGTTGGTGTAATTGATTGAAAAGTGTTCCAGTAAGAGTTCCAAAACTGTAAAAAAATATATTAGTATGTACTGTAAATTCATAAAAAATAGATTAACTTGAATGACTTTATGCCTTTGTGTATGATGGGGACAAGAAACCCTACTTTCTGTCCCTATCATACACGAACCCAAAGTCATTAAAGTACACAAGGAAATAATTATCAAGGGAAAAACTTACCATTCTATTATGCCAAATGATTTTCATACATACAGTGATAATAAAGAGTGAGTATATAATTTCGAGCCAGGATACACAGCCGAGATTCATATTTGTAATCCTGTCACTTATATACCAACATAATGGTTTGTTTATCTTATGCACTACTAGTACTCTGTGCCAACTGATCAAGCCTGGTTTCTTCTGCAAGCCTATATTGTAAATTAGCGGATGATTTCAAGCTTGTTAATCGTTCATACGTCATTGGTTCAATGACACAAGATGCAAGTGATTTTACTCTGCTAATAGCAACATAAGAAACTCCAGCAGTTCTTTCAGATTTGCCAACATCTATCCATGCTTTTGGAAGTGTAAGTCCTTGGCTCTTGTGTATTGTAAGAGCCCAAGCAAGTCTGAGGCAATTGTTGCCTCTCATGGAAACCAAATTCAGTCTGCGACAATACAGTGATTGGACATATAGGAATACACATTGGTTTTTCCTGATCAAAAACTGGACCTCTGTAGTTTTCAAACTTTACTATAACCGCAATAGGTAGGTCGGGTGGTTGATGATTGTTCTCGAAAATAAAATCAACGATTGTTCCAGTAGCCCCATTGCAGAGCCCAACGCTTGGCCATAAATTCATAGTTAACATCACTATAGCACCTTTTGTCAGAAACACAACTGGTTTCACTTGCTCAGAGCTCATGCCTTGCACTCGTTGATTTACCGCGAGTTTAATAACTTTATCAAACATATCATATGCTTGATAACCTTGTTCACCAACAGCATTCGATGGTTTAGAATGGTAAAGAGGTTTATCAGCAACTGGTGGTAATTGATCTGGATCACCAGTCAAAATCAAAGATTTTCCTCCAAATACTTTGCTGTTACAACCAGTTGCTTGTTTGCCAAGTTTGTCTATCCAGCCAAAAGTAACTTGGCCAAGCATGGAATATTCGTCAATAATGATGTATTCAACATTATTAAGGTTCTCCTGCAACCTACATAAAGTCTGTCCTGTCAGGTCCTTATTACCACTTGACCCTATAGGTAACTTTAATAAAGAGTGCACAGTTACACCTTTTATATTGTATGCTGCTTTACCTGTTGTAGCAGTAACAGCACATTTACCTTGTAGAAGGTTTCGAATAGCATTAATAAGGTAACTTTTACCAGTACCTTGCAACATCATTTATGATTAGACATAATGACTCTTTTTCAGACGATGCATCATCAAAATGAGATTTAACAATGTCATAAGCAAGTTTTTGCATTTCACTAAAGCTGTTGATGTCAACAACATATTGCTCATCAATAGTGTAGTCTTCCTTCTTAGTTTCTATCCATGTAGGCATTTCACGAATTTGCTGTTCTGAATAATTAACTCGATCGAGATGCCAATCATGTGCCGACTCTGGTATTCCTTCAGCATTTTCAAAAGGAGTGTGAAGGTCTGACAATACCATCCACTCTTCTCGAGTTACCTCCTGCTCTTGAGAAGGTTCATCTTCACGTTCTTGACTTTGAATGACATTTTGCAATTTGTCAAACCAATCTGGGACATTAGATTGTCCATAAGATGTTTGCAAGAATTCATGCCAATAATTTATAAGGGCCTCGTCAGTTGGTTTCTGATCACCCCATGCATTGTTTTGGGTCGTTCTCCAGGGTTTATACCTTAAAAGTTGATATTTGCAATAAAGACCAAAATTTGGACCTTTAGGATTAGGAGAATAAGTTGGAAATATTCTTGGTATAACATTCTCTGAAAATTTTGTCAGTTCATTATTAAAAGCTTTATATGTTCTAGCAAACTGAACAAAGTTCATGTTCATGACACCATCAGAACTTTCATATTGATGATGATTAGCATACACATCGAGAAGTGAGTAATCGGTGCAAGGTTCGCTTCTTCAATACTTGCAGTGTCACGTACTCTATGTGAACCATTTAAACTTACTGGCACCACTTTAAATGATGAGCTATGGAGTTTTAAAAACAACAAATGATGCATTGTCCCCTGAGCAGCATAATCCCTTTCACCAAGAGATTTCATAACTACCTTCTTAATAACTCTACGAGGGTCAGTATTACTGTGAACATTTTGCACAATAGAATTGAATGCCTGTTTCAATATAGGTGATCTTGGCTCACCTTTAGCTGCATATTTTGTAAGATATTCAATGCAAGCATAGTGCTTGCATTCAATGCAAGCATAGGGAAGAAGTTTGAATTTAGAAAGAAAATAAAACTAGTATTGTGAAGACGTACTCGAGGGAAATGTGTAAATTATGACGACGTTTAAAAGATATTTTGCCTACTAGATAGATTTTTGCAATGGAGCTGGTAGAAAGAATACGCCAAGGTATGTATTAATATAAAGACAATATGGCGACGCGATCACATGCTCCCAAGCGCGCTGCGCAAATTTCAACAAATACTCCATCAAAAACGCCCAAGAAACCGGTTCTAGAGAAAGCAAAGAAAACCATAAATGCCAATAAAGAAGACAGAGATAATTTACACGAAGAAAAGCCTATGAATGTCGAAAATATGTTCGAAACGATTATGAGCAAGCTGGGTAAATTAGATATCATTGATGGCCGTATGATATCGATGGAACAAGAACTGAAGGAAGTAAAAGAATCTTTAGAATATGCATATGCTGAAGTTGAAACGCTGAAGAAAGAAAACGCAGAGCTAAAGAAGTCTGACTCGGAGACGAAAGAAAGATTGGCGAAAGTAGAAGAGCAGAATTCAGCATTAAATAGTCGCGTCATTGACCTACAAGCAAGGTCAATGCGCGACAACTTAATGTTTTATAATTTACCAGAGCGTGAGGACGAAAATACAAACAACCTCATACATAACTTATTACAAGAGCAACTTGGAATATCGGATGCGAAGACTATAAAGATAGACCGTTCACACAGAATAGGCAGAAGAACACCGGGATCGAGAAGACCAAGAGCCATTGTCGCGAAATTTAATTTTTACCCGGATAAGGAACGTATACTGGCTAACGCGAGGCGATTAAAGGGTACAGGAATTGCAATTTCTGAACAGTTCCCGGAGGAAATTGTTAAATTAAGAAAGCGACTACTGCCAGAAATGAAGAAAGCACGTGAGGATGGTAGGAGAGTAAAATTAGTTAGAGATAAGTTATATATAGATGGCCAACTTTTTAGACATAATTCTACTCACTAGGTTTCATATTACATATAAACAAAATATGCTATCAGTCTATCACGCTTACATTAATTAATATTATATATACATTCAACTATGGAACAAATAACAGAAAGTAACAAAAATTTTCTTTCACAAAATGTTACTAATTCTAAAGTTTCGGCATTTCACCATAAGAAAGTATTCAGCGATACAGATATGGATAGACTAAATAGATTGAAATTCAATTCCTTTTTTCTCAATCAACAAATAGGTCCGGAAGTCTTCAATAATGATTCACAAATAGACACATGCCTCAACACTGAAATGATGCAGTGTGATTATTATCTTCCGCATGAGTTCAAAAAAAAAACACACACACAATATGGACATAAAAAACGATTTCTCAATAATGCATCTTAACATAAGAAGTATTTGTAACAAATTCTGCTCCTTCAAGCATCTGATTAAGTCATTAAATTTAAATTTCCACGTAATAGGCTTATCCGAAACATGGTTAAGCGATTTTTATAACACAGACAATTTTCAACTAGATAACTATGACTTTATTGTTTCGAATCGGACTAACAAAAAAGGCGGCGGTGTTGGTTTATATATCACAAAAGATTTAGATTACAAAATCCGCTCAGACCTAACCTTTAATATAGAAGATACTATTGAAACAAGTTTTGTAGAAATACTCACTAATACTGGTAAAAATATAATTATAGGTGAAATTTATAGGCCACCAAACAATAAGAATGATTCGTTCGAAAATTCATTGGAAAAAATCCTAGATATAATTGATAAAGAAAACAAAATTTGTTATCTTATGGGTGATTTCAATATAGACCTATTTAAATCAGAATCTTGTGATTATTCAAACCGTTTTTTAGAACAATTGTTTACATCTTCATATTTCCCATTAATAACGAAAGCAACTAGAGTTACCCATCATACAACAACACTCATTGATAATATTTTTACAAACAATATTGAGAAACTTAATGACAGCATAAACGGAATTATTTTAAGTGATCTATCTGACCATTTACCAATAGTGCATTCATATAACACAAATGTTTTTCATAATATTATTCAACAAAATTCAAATTCTTATATGTTTAAAAGAATCATAAATAAAACAAACATAGAATCATTCAAAAATTCCATTAAAACTACATTGTGGGATAGTGTACTGAACGAGACTGAAAACCCAGATAAAGCTTTTGACGAGTTTTCTCGGTTGTTGACAGATTCATATAATGCTAACTTGCCAGTTGGAAAAAATAAAGCAAAAATTAACAAAAATAAAAGTCCATGGATGACAAAATGCATATTTATTTATTTTATTTTATTAAAGTCTGTAAAGAGCAAAAATAAACTTTACAAGAAATTTTTAAATAAACAACCCCACTAGTAAAAATGAGTTGGCTTACAAAAAATATAGAAATAAGCTATATTATGAAGAACAACTTATCAAGTACAAACAAAATACGAAAATGCTTTGGCAAACACTAAACGAATTGTTAAACAATTCAAGAAAAACTACCAAAATATCTAAAGTATTTGTTGAAACAAATTCAACAAATGTCTTAGATGATCCACACGAAATTGCTAACAAATTTAATGAATACTTTACAAATGTTGGACCTAATCTAGCCAAAAAAATAAATACAAAGAAAACTATAAATTTTGAAAAATACCTTAAAAGTAACTATACAGATAGTCTTTTTCTCAATCCAATTATTGAAAATGAACTTGAAAATGAAATAATGAATATGAACTCAAATAAAAGCTCTGGATATGATGATATAAGTACAAAAATCATAAAACATATTGCTAAAGACATTTCGAAACCGCTAACACACAGTTTTAATTTAACATTTCTACATGGAGTTATTCCTAAAGATTTAAAGAAAGCATTAGTTACACCAATTTTTAAAAATAGCGATGAAACTAGATTCGAAAACTACAGACCTATATCTGTTCTCACGTGTTTCTCCAAATTATTAGAAAAGTTGATGTACAATAGATTAATAAATTTCGTGGAAAAAAACAAAATCTTATCAAAACACCAATACGGTTTCAGGAAAAACAGATCAACGGAGCTTGCGATGATTGATTTTATCGACAAAATTACTGCTGCGATTGATCGGGGAGAATTCACAATTGGCATTTTCCTTGATTTATCGAAAGCATTTGACACAATAAATCACAGGATTCTGATTAAAAAACTGGAACACTACGGAATACGAGGAATAGCACAAAAATGGTTTGAAAGCTATTTAAATAACAGAAAACAAATTGTTAAATACAACGATGTACGATCAGAGGAATTCACAATTAACAGTGGTGTTCCTCAGGGATCTATTTTAGGACCTTTATTATTTCTCCTGTATATAAATGACATTCAATATTGCAGCGAACTTGTTTCCATGGTATTATTTGCAGATGATACAAGTATACTTCATAGTCACACTTGCCTTAAGACTTTGAATGAAATAATACAAACAGAAATAAATAAAATCACAGATTGGCTTAATGTTAATAAGTTATCGATTAATACGAAAAAAACAAAATTTGTTTTATTCAAATCTCCAAACAAAAGAACAAGTCATGATATCAAACTTTCAATGAATAATGACAATATTAAACAGGTCAAAAGTATAACATTCCTTGGGATTGTGATAGATGAATGTTTGACATGGAAATATCATATAGAACTAGTTTCAAAAAAGATTATCAAAGCTACTGCAATAATTTCCAAAATCCGATACTTCACAAATATTAATTCTCTAAAACTAATTTATTATGCGTTAGTCTATCCATATCTTATCTATGGTAACCTTATTTGGGGGAATACGTATAAGACACGTATTCAAAAACTTTTCACCATTCAAAAGAAACTTGTAAGATTGATAACGTTTAGTTCTTATTTTGAGCACACTGATCCGATATTTAAGAAACTTAAGATACTCAACATCTACAAAATAAATGAGTATTTAACTAGTTTATTTATGTTCAGATACTACAAAGTACGAAATTTACCAGAAATTTTTGTAATTATTTTGTATCCAACAACGAGATAAATCATCACAATACCAGAAATGCATCGCTCCTTCACAAGTCTTACAAAAGAACAAATTACTCAAAACATTCCCTAGCAAACAAAGGAATCGAAATTTGGAACTGTCTTGCAAAAGACTTCAAACAAATAAAATCACATTTCGTCTTCAAACGAGAGGTAAAGAAACACTTTCTTCATATCTAATTAACTACCGGAAGTTTATAAATTCTATCAAACTATAGGGCACAACAAATCACCACACGCTTATTTCTATGATTATTGATTACTATGAATATCAAATTGTAATTGTAATTGTATTATTATAATATACCGTATATATTCGCAAAATTGACTACTGTAATAATTTGATTTTGAACTGGTTTACTTAATTAATTAAAAAACAATTGTAAATATATTTCTAGGGGTCTAAGTAAAAAAGCCAAATGGTTTCAAATAGACTCCTAGCCCTCTTCTTCTTTAATATTAGAATTTTCATGTAAATAAATAAATATTATTGGGCAAAATCAAATAAATAAATTTAAAAAAAAAAAAAAAATCAATAACAACTTGAATATCACAGTTAGCTCTCCATCCTTGGATTTGAAGTTGTTGATGATTATTTAATCTAGCATCATTTCTCTTAGTAACAATCTTAGCCCTATAATGCTCATTATCACCTGAAGTGTGAATTTTCTCAAACTCTAACTTTGTTTTCGGACAATGATCAAAAGGAAAACGAAATCTACATTTCAATTCTGTTTCATTTGACTTTTTTCTAAGACAATAGCTTGTACTACAACGAGTGTGTCGCTGTACCATGTTTAAGAGATCTGTGTAATCAGATTGTTTTTCATGTTCAGGAATGCCCTGATGACTTCTTTGACATGGATGAACTTTTCAGGTCTTATCCACATGTCCTCATCTGGTGAATTAGGATTGACGGTTGATAACAACCAATCAACATACTGACATACTGTATCAGCAGCATTGTGACCAGCTTCAATATCCTCATCTAGTTCAATTGTGTCAGAACAATCATTTTCATCTTTAAAGTTTTGAGCTAAGAAACCTTTCAAAGCAGTCTGAGTAAGTTGACACAAACCTGGGTCATTATTTAGTTTAGCAGTACCATGACAGTGGATACTACCTCTACCTTGGTATTGATATCTAAACCAGTGCCATTTAGCACCAAGTGTATCATAAAGCCAGTGTTTTACAAAGCTTTCTAGTCTTTGGGTAAAAAACCAATCTACAACGTGGGGATTGTTAATAACATTTTGTCGTCTTACCTCACTGGTAGAATTACTAATATCACTATCTGCATCAGCTTTAAATAAAGCATGCAATTCAGGCCAATGCATATCTGCAGAGGAAAATGTAAAAAATAATGTTGGTGCTCCAACACTAGTTATAATAGCTTTAAGCTCTTCTCTTACTTTATTCCAATAAGCATTAGTACCTGCAATATTGCCAACATATCTAGACACTTTAGACATAAACACATTAGCATTGTTACTGGCAGCCATTTCATGCAGCTCATCGATGGTGAGATGTACTTCACCTGGGTTTTGTTTTAAAAATATTCCACTTTGCTGTAAGATTCGTTTTCTTTGAATCATGTCAAAAGCCCAATATGAAAATCGGGGATGGTTAGCAAAACGATATACCCATTTACCATCAATAATTTCAGCAAATTTTAATAGATGCTTTATTCGTTCCTCAAGAGGGACATCTCTCAGAAGTCCTTGATTAGTAGGATCACCTTTGCCATCAGGATATAAAGTTGGAAAAGCCATTGTGGCCAAATGTGAAACCGGATACTCATTCAATGGTTCATTTTCGACTGAAGGCCATTCAATTGGCTCATTTTCACAAAGCTGATTTGTCACAGCTTCAATTTCTTTTTGCTGTTGTTCACCAACAGGTAAAAAACTACTCATTTCAGTAGAGTCATTGTAAGCAATATCCTCTGACGTGTTATCGGTAGTAGGCCCTAAATCAGAAGAACCATTATCATCAGAGACTATATCATCATCAGTCTCAACAGTCCTAAGATCTGGTGGTACACCATTCTCAGGTAAAGAGTTTAATGCATCTTCATTTATTAATATCTCAGAATAATGTGGGTTATTATTAATAAGGCAAACTAAAGCATTGTGCACTTTTTGTTTTCGCACCCTGGCATCTTTGAAGGTATTGTCTTTACCTTTTACCTTGACAATAATCACTGCCAAGTCTTTGGGATATCTTGGCAAAGATGTTGCAAGCTCTGTGACATTTTGTGGCAGGTTAATACAATGCCCTGAATAACCTCGTTGACCACCAGGTTTAATATATACTCTCATGATAGGAAGAGCACGAGCAATTAACATTTCCTCAACCTGAGTTAAATCTTTTAGTTCATTTGGAACACATAAGGTATCATTGAGTTTTCACATGAAAACGTTTTGGGAAACTTTTTATCTCTCAAGCATTGTGAGCACACATAAGGTGACTTAGGTTTAGACTTCAAAGGCCATGCCTCCTTACATTCTGTACACTGATAGACAGTGTATTGTTAGATTTTCTCTTGCTTGATCATCAGCACAAGATACCTTTGCTCGCTTTAATTTTTTATAGCTTTTTGCATTTTCAAGTCTCTCTCGTTTTTTTTACTCTCATTTTCTTCACTTCCTCGTTGTCTTTTTTTAGACATTCTAGCATTTTCAAGTCTAGTCTGTTTTTCTGTTTCAGTTTCTGCCACTGATCTAATAATACACTGGATATAGCTTCTATACCTATCAAAAGTGAAGCCAACTCGCAAGCGTGCAAATTTACTTCCGGATACCCAAAGGAGCGATAATTAATATGGCGTTATATGGAGAAATGTGATGTCGAAGCAAATATTTTGTAAATATGAGCCGTTTTCGTAACGCGATCATGCTTATTTGTGCTTCTTATGAAAGATGAGGGTCTTATGATTAATTTGTAGTAAAATTGCTGCCTGTTACGCTTACACATCGCTCTAGAATTTGTTTGAAGAGTGGCATGTTTATGGTCCCGAGTTGTGGTTTATGCTGTCTACGAGTTTAATAATGAAGAGGATTATAATACTAAAGTACTTCTGGATTTTACAGGCGGTAAGGAATCTTTTTTTCTTATAGACAATTAACGGCACCGAAGTTACGACGCATATTATATCTGTTTACTGTTTTCATTTCTAATATAGTTACTTAATATAGGTATCAATATAATTATTACTTACAGTAATAAATATGCAGTGGCAGTTTATGTACAATATTTACATTTAATAAACTTGATTGCTTGGCTATTATGCACTTGTCATCGGATTCCCCGAGGGGTCGACCCCCGGGCTGACCACGGGGATTGTCCAAGGTGGGGATGCAATCTTAATGAATTTCCCGGGGGGTGGGGGAACATAAGAGATCAAAGTCCCGTGGTCATTTCCTTACCTGTCGTGAATCCCCCCCCCCCAGCGTCTTTTAAGCTAATAAAAAGGCCTACTTATAAAATCTCATGATACACATAATCATTCGATAAACCAAAAGATAAAATCTAATCATCGGTATTTTGACACTGGATTTGAAGAAAATACTAAACATTTTACATATTTATGCTATAATTTAATATGGTATAACATATACAAAATGAACATAGATTATACTGTCTTATACCTTTATTTTGAACTGTAAAACACAACAATATTAAAATCGCTAGTGACCCTCTAGTGTTAAAAGTGAGAGACAAGTATGATATCTTTGATATGCATTTTATGGGCCGATTAATATAACCAGTCTCGTATCCCGCGTTATGATGCTACCTGATCATTGTGTGACGTGCGTCGATAACTTGACGGCAATAGATAGTAGATCACGCGATAATTTTCACTAAGATGAAACCAACTTTTATAATATAAAATTACATCGAAATGCATGAAACCTCAGAAAAGCGAACTTTAAACATTTAAAGTCAAAACATGCTGCAAAAGGTTGCAAAGCATCTAAGTGGTACAATTTGTACAATAAAAGTTTTCCAGTAGTTCTGCCTCTTGCTCCGTGAGGTTAATACAATTGCCATGGAACCAGACATCGCAACTGTCACAACATATCATGAACCTAAGAATGAGAGAAAACAAAGGGAGAGGTGTTCAGCAGAGTTTAAGTTTGATAATCTATTCTAACTGAATTGGGGGCTGACACTAGTTTACAAACAATGGTGCTCTAAAAGAGTTACGAAACAATCAAACAAAACAGCATATTAAACAAGTAGGAAAGGGTTTATAGTATGGCTAGTTGGTCTGTTATTATGAAGACCATACCTTCCGTCATCTGCTTCATTACAGATGCAGTGCAATTCTGCTCGTGAATCTTTTTCCACTCGTGAATCAAGGTCTCCCGATGAATCGTTTTCTGCTCGTGAATCAACGTCTCCCGATAAATCCTTTTCAGCTATACTCTCTGAAAACGTAAAAAAAAACCCCATCAAATGTACATTTGAAACAATTTGGAATGCCCAGACTCTTTTATTATCAACGTTAAGTTAAGGCACTGCCAACTTAATGGATCGAAAGCTCAGCAAAATAAATTTCAATCACCACTTATTTCATATGCCATGTATCTGCAATATGATCACATAAATGCATGAAACTATGCACCGTTTTGACATTTACGTCACTTAGCCTGGATTACTCGTTCTCATGGGTTGTTGGCCAATAGCCTTACGTCTTTTACAAATGAAAAGAGATGCTTACAGGCCAAAAAAAGTATAAGTGACGTAATATCGAAAGGGTGTGATACAATTTGACGGGTTTTGTAAATGGAAAAGATCGAGTAGAAAATTATATACATTTTTAGACCGGCTAACCACGCACAGCTGCGAAAAATGCAACAACAGGTCCTAGCTGGCAGGAATCGAACTTACGGCGCTGTGATGCAATTTACCACTGCGCGCTTACCTTTGTTTCTTTGTGCTTGTTTTCTTTTCCTTGTTTCTGCCGCCTTTTTTGCTCCTCGTTTCCTTCTTAGTTTAATATTCTTAAGATGCTCAATCCAAAAACTAACATCGGACTCGCTCAGCAAAGTGTTTTTCGCCAAGTTCTTAATATCAGCATCCGTGATCTCTTCAGAACTATTGTCGAAAAATGTTCTTACTACTTCTCTGGGAGGCTCAGCACAACATCCTAGCCCTTTTTCTTTAATCAACTGAATTGTTTTTTCAGGGTCAAGATAATGGCCACGGCAGAAACTTACACACTTATCGCATTTACCTCCCCATCGTTTTTCAGGATGTGGAATTGGAAGAGGTATAGTCGTAAGTGATGGCCCACCTTCAAACCAAACAGGTGGCGAACTTGGTTTCCCTTCACGGCAACGCGGGTGATGACATTTCTTCTGGTAGCATGGCAGGAGTATAAAAATGTAGTTGTCCGGCAGGTCTTTCACCATGTGGTTATTCCTCACATCCCATACATTCGTGAAATACTTGTATTCGTCCGGATAATTCTTTTTGAATAATAGCTGGTTTTTCTTTGATCCTTGTAGAAATGTGAGCAAACGATCTCGTCTTTCATGATTATTCCTTGAAACATCATCGCGACATCCTTTTAACAACAAAATGGGATTACCAGAGCATTTCGTTCCAGAAACACTGTTAATGTAGGTCTCCGTAGCTGCACCAAGGTTAGATTCTAACCTGTCCTGGTCAATTCCTTCAGCGTTAAAATTAGAACCAAGAATAGTTGAGGGAATAAACACATTAGAATGTCCAACCGTTAAACATCCATTCAATAACTCTACACGGTTCAAATAACTCCCACCACTATATCGAGAAGTAACGATGGTGCAGGTTTTGTTCATTTTCAAATGCCATTCGCTCCACATAAATTGCACTTCTAAATGATTGGGACCTTCGTCTGCTGCCCCGTCTACTCGAATACAATCAATATCTTTATTCTGCAGGATGGGTTCAATAGCAGGTTGTTTGAGGAGCATTTGAAAATCCGCTGCATGCTGAGCCGGGTTTTTCGGGAAAACTTTCTGTGCTTTTACAATACCGACTGGCATTTCTGCTGTGTTATCGGTAGCCATAAACAAATAAGACGTTGTCTGCAATATC